ATTATCAATTATTTCTCTTCAATCTATCTCCGGCTTATATACTAAAAAAAGGGCGTCTAGCAAACGCTGGGACATTCATGAGGTTCCCCCAATAAGTCACGATCCTTCTAGAAACTCCAGCGCGTATGCTCACAGCGTCGCGTGACTTCCGCTGTCGTAACAATACTAACCAAAGACTAAATTGTATTCCTGAAAGTGATAGATTTGGTGTTGCTAATTATTATTTTTCTCTTTTTCCCAAATGCCTTGGGTTTTACTTTATTGGTTAAATAATAATAAAATAATAAATGTTGCTTATACTAACGCAACACGTCCAGTAGTCTTTTTAGTACGTAACGTTTCAATAAGAAAATGTGGGAATTAATCCAATAACGTCCCTGAGATATAAATAATTGTACCATTGAAGATAACATGTGTTATGATAAAGGTTTGTTCCTATTCATTTATGGCGTAGTTTAACACAAAATATAATATCATGTCAGTATTAGTAAATAGCATATTTCTAATAACGAACTTTTTTGTAATAAAGTACCTTAGGTTTTTAATACTTACTGATTAAATAATTTTTTCCTGGAACAAGAATATCAAATCTGAAGACGTAATTCCTAAATGTCCCAAATTTCCATTCGTCAACGTGTAGTGATGACGACATTTCTGTACATCCAAAGTTCTCATCTTCAGTGCCGTTGGTTATTCGTAACTGAGCGCTGTCGTTTGATGTTTGGTCGGCGCTCATTTGAAATATTCGAAAGCTACATATTTATAATAAATACATAAAAAAATAGAGAAATCGCCCATTTTTATCAAAGAATTTTTATTTTGATATCTTATATTATGTTGAACGATTTTGTGACATCATTCGAATAATTTTTATTTAGTTTTGAAATAATTATGTTTTGAAAAATATTAGGGACAATTTTAATCCCCAAGATGTTTCTGTTTAGAAATAAATCAATTATGAATGAAGGTATTTTTTAAATATTCATCATGTTTTTAAGTAGTAAATATCCTCTGGTGGGTTAGCGGTAAGTTTACGGCCTTATAACGCTAAAGTCCAGAGTTCGATTCCCTGTAGCAAAAAGAGCTCAGTGTGAAGCTTTGCGTTGAAATAAATAATAGAGAAACAACAACAGACACTTAAAGAAGAGATATTTTACTTAGAAAAATAATAGACATTTTCAAGAATTGTTTTTAATAAAGTTTATTTGTGATGTTTTTATGTAGAAATATTACAAACTGAAAAAATAACTGAAATAAAAAACTGATATGAAATACATTATATGTCCTACATGCATATTTTACTAGAAAAAGACATTATTTGTATTTCTGCCTATTTGTTTGTTATTTTACATTAAAAGCACAGATATAAAAAAAAACTGATATGAAATACATTATATGTCCTACATGCATATTTTACTAGAAAAAGACATTATTTGTATTTCTGCCTATTTGTTTGTTATTTTACATTAAAAGCACAGATACTAAATTCGTCAGTTTATATTTATTGCCGAAAACTGCCCTAGTACGAATCATATCATGTCAGTTTTAATAAATATCATATTTCTAAAAATGAAAATTTTTTGTATTAAAGTACCTTAGCTTTTGAATACTTATATTGAGAAAACACGCACTATTTTGACATTTACAGAGTTTTTGTGAAGAACTATTCACCTACACATAAATCCATATCCCAAATTAAAATCATGAAAAACATGTTTACCAGAAACATAATAATATACTCATGAGTAAATTATATTTGGATTGCTTCATCTCATAGCCAGGATCTTGGATTTTGATAAGTATCCAACCTGAAATCTAAGGGTGATAGATGCTAATTTGGTATATTATTATATTTCTTGATATAAATTGTATCAGTGCTTATATTATACATAGACAGATAATGTACAGCTTAAAACCCGGGATGATCAAGCAATTAATAAAATATTGATTAGAGTACTAAATTATATCATTTGTATCTTTATCCATAAGTAAACTAATACTACCACACATTCATAGAGTCACTAAAGCACAATCTTTGTTTACCCTATGAACATTTCAATAAGGATATCTTTGATAAAAATTATACAAGTATATTTACATCATTCGTATTCATAAGAGTGAGAATGAATGAATTCAAAGATGCGAGAGTGGGTAGATGGATGAATAGATTCATGGATTTGACGGTGAATGAATCAGTAGATCTATAAATGTGAAGGTGAGTGAGTTGATGAAAGGACGATTTTCATAGATTCGGCGATGTATAAATGATCTCATGAACGTAGTGATGGGCGAAGAAACATTTGACATCTGCACTGTTTTGCTAATAGTATTGGATGAAGTCAAAATGTAACTGTTATAATTCAGTACAGCATCTACGTTGGCCTAAATAAATGTAGTTGTATCCACTGTTGTTTCAAAAGCTTGGGAAGTTGACGAAGACTAGAACTAACTCATTAAGATTCTTCCAAAAAAGTTCTATAAGGTTAAGGAATGGAATCTCTAATTTGAAACTAGGACATAGACTGTTTATGATTTGCAGCAGGAAGCATTAACTTAATAGAAAACACACACACACACAACACGCTGGCTTAACTCATGGGACTAATGTAGATACTTCATAGATAGGCATCCATTGCTTAGAATGTAACACTTCACCATCCTTTTAGAGTTTATACATGACCACAGCCGAATTATTCAACTGCCTACCCCAAAACATGTATCTGGTCATTAATATGAAATAGAATGAAACAACTTTCATCATTTTACAAATTCGCGACCAGTCGTGAAAATTTCACGATGGGCGTAATGAAAAGCGGTGCCGAATGTTTTGGGGGGATAATGTATGGATTGCTTATCTGAGGCTCCCCAGTAGCTCAGCTGTAAGTCTGAAGGCTCATAGCGCTATAAACCGGCTGGGGACAGCACAGATAGCTCATTGTGTAGATTTATGCTTACCAACAGACAAGGAAACAAAAAAAGCTTACCTGAGTTATCTCAACTGTCATAAAATATTCACGATTAGGAAAATAACTCTTTGAATGTCTCAGAGATTGTGTCTTTTTATACACGTGGCAACACTGGATTCGGTAAAATCACTGCTAATTTGTAGCAAAAATGATTTTCAGCATATTTCTTTCACAATAATAATATTCGAGCGTTTGTCACTCTTCAACTGATTTCAGTTCAGACGTAACATGTTCTAAAGTTTTTTTTATCAAATTCTAGACGTCACTGAATAGTTTCATGTTCAGTAGATCACGTGACGAAGTACTATAATTATTTAAAGTTTCAATATTACATACTTGCAAAAGACAACTAACAATATATTCTCCAGCAGATTCGCGACATTTTGAATCTTGCACTCATTCCGCTACTATTGATCCAAGTTATTGGGCTTCTGGTTTTTTGCAGTAAAAAAAATAACACTGTGAATCACAGTGATTTTGGAAATAAAAAACCGAAAGCTAGAGAACTTTCCAAGTGTGATTGTTACCTCAAGAGGGATAGACCAACAATAAAAAATTCCCAAGGTTTACTACCTGGTGAGTGGCTGTATTTCCTTGCAGTGTATGCTGGATAAGTCGGATCTTTTGTTCAATGAATTTCTCTATACTTTTGACAGAGAAGTGCGCATTTATCAAGTTGTTTAATTGTGGTGTCTGTATGAATCTTACTGCAAAAAGCCTGTTCGGTTTTTATGTTTGATTTAACAAACATTTGTGAAAGGGAAACTATTTGAAGGATAAAAGCAAATGTTTGGTAAAATTACACTTATCTGATTGTGACAGTTTGAAATGTGTTAGCCACACCTGTTCCTTGTTCTCTGTTCACCAACATACGTCTTTCTAATTATGGTTTCAAATGATTATGCATAATTTCGTCTTTATGAAACGTGTGAAAGCGATAACATCAAATTAGGAGCTAAACATTGTTCGTTTGGTTTATTTTGAATTTCACGCAAAGCTATACGAGGACTATCTACTCTAGTCGTCCCTAATTTAGCAGTGATAGACTAGAGGGAAGGCAGCTAATCAACACCACCAACTCTTGGGCTACTCTTTTACCAACGAATTATGGGATTAATCGTCACATTATAATTCTCCCACGGCTGAAAGGGCGAGCATTTTCGGGGATAAGAAACCTCGACCCTCAAATTACGAATCGAGCGTCGTAACCACCAGGCCATACTGGGTCCCTTCGCTAAACACTATTGGTGAAAGTTTTAGTGAATAAAATTACAAGAACGTATAGAGGTTCAAGGAATCCAAGACTTCATTTTTGAAACACCCCCCCCCCCCGCAAAAAAAAAGACAAGTGTAGAGCCCTTGTTATTCAGTTTGTGAAGCTCTAAAATAAGTAGTAATTATTCTATACCATTGGAACGGCGTTCCATTTAGTGTTATTTTTTTTAACAATAATGATATAGTTATAATGTTAATTAATGCATTATTAAGGAGTTTCGTGTCTCATTACAACTGGGCCTATACACGGTTAAGCTTATATTCTGGTCCTTAAAGTTGGACTTCCCTTTCCAAAGTCCTGTAACCGCCCTTGAATTGCCATCTGTAGAAAGCCAAGAGGTAAAGATTGTTACAGGAACTCCATAAAAAGAGCAATTTTCCCCACAAAACTGAACACTGGGTCACTACGCTAATGAAAAATGTATTCACACAAATTAAACTCGTTAGCATATATTTTTAATGACATTAAATTTTCTTTAAGATGCGTTTTTAAACTTTCAAATGCTTGTGAAACTCTTGAAATTCACAATAATTTTACTGTTATTTTGTTCGTTAATGTACTGAAGCTGTCGTTTACTTATATATTGAACTATATAAAATAAAACAACATTGCTACACAATCGCTCCAGCTATTTTAATCACCCTTATATAACAAAATAGCACACTTGCAAATAGGAAATCTTCGCTGAATAAGATGAAGCGACCACAAATGACAACAGATGAAACAACTTATTAAAAATAAGGCGAAAAACACAACATATTAGAAGCACATGTGACAAGGTGTATTAAACGCACGTGTGATAAATTCATTATATGACATATCTCACAAGAACGTGACACAATATTTTATATGCTCGCGAGATGCACTTTAGACTACCGCAAGGTTCAGTGGTGGCGCTATGATCGTAAACATGACTATTAGTAGTACAGTTGCTGGTTTAAAAACAAATTGCATTTATTTAGAATATTTCACTGTTCTAGTCCACATACGTTGTTCTTAACCTGCTTATGGCAGTTTTACAAAGTTACATCAAGTGTCGTTTCTTAGCTCTATGACTCTCTATAGACTCACGTAACTCATCGTATCAGTCGACTATGATACAGTTTACTCCTTCAATCCTACTCTACATCATACGTCTTGAAGAAATGCGTAGGTTGTCAAATCCCTTTTTTCTACTTCTGTATCCTAATGTAATCTTAGCTGTGCATTTTATAATTTCGCGTGAAGCGTCATATAAGGTTTGCAAGTAATATATATTTATATATATATATATATATATATGTACACACACACACACACACATATCTATATGCTCCTGGTTGAATGCCAATCACGTTTAAATTTAAACAACAAATCTTTGCTTTTGAACTGCATGTATTTTAAAAATAGCTACAAAATTCAGCATAGTTATCAGTCCTCCCCTAAAGTTTTAAATATGTTACAGAATGTAGAAATATGCACAAAATTGATTGAGAATATATATTAAACTATGTTGATGATGCATGCTAGC